ACTAGTAGAAAATTTTCAGCTTATTAAAAAATTAGAGAAGCCTAGTTCAGGAAAGAAAAAGGGAGACGTTGATAGCTAAATTTAAAAAGCAGAGTGGGAGGAAGTGAAGAGTGAATGGCATTATTAAATAGTGTCTTCTCTTGGCTTCCAAATAAAAACAACATAGGAAAAAAAAAAATAATAAAAAGCACTGAAGATCAGAAAATTAGGTTGCTTTCTGCTGGGTAAATTTGATAATAAAGAAGATACCTCAATGCACTCTTGGTGTTTTTTTTTGATAAAGAAATACTCATGATATACTGTATAAGTCCTCCTTCTAATGATTATGGTTTTTTGTTTTGTTTTGTTTTGTTGTTGTTGTTGTTTTTCCTCTGCAATGAAACTATCAACAACTTGGATAAACTCTGCCATTTGTCTTCAACAGCAAATAGAAATGGACTATAGCCTAGTTCATCAAAATCCACAGTGGTTAGTCCTTAAAAAAAAAATCATTATTGTTCCAAATGGTGTCCTACTTTCATACTAAAATGTTAAACGAATACAAGTCCTATGGGTCACAGACAACAGTTCTCTTGGTTTCATGGGAAGCCTGGCTGCACTATTCCTGTTACTCCAGATTTGTTGCCTCCAGATGCATTTTTGTTCTTATTATAGAAAACTGGTCAGGCACTATTTTGCCTCAAGGTAATTTTCATTATTTCAGTGAATTGGTGTGATAGTTCAGTTAAAAGTTAGTTTGCCTTCCTAGCAAATTCTTCAAGCTGTTAAAAAGTAGAATTCCTCTCTGAGCTTCAAAGTGAAGTTTCTTACTATTAGCTATTTCAGTGGTTCATAGCCAGGCAATCACTCTGTGACTACTTTTAAACCAAATACACTGATTTAATGATATGCAGTTTGGAAGGAGGCTTTCCCATCTTGTCTGCACTGCAGCGTTTTGTCACATAGTGAGCCCCAACTCCTCTCCTAGCAGTCACAGTAATGGCAGGCAGAGCTCTGAAGGCCGGTGAAGGAGCAAGGAGGCTGAGTGAAGTGTTTGAAAGGTTTTTCTCTCCTTCAGGTTGCTTGTGCCTGCAGGATGAACACAACAGATCACAGGTCAGGTCTCTTTGAATAGAGTTTCTTTGTTCTGAAAATTAGTTCTCCATAAACCTTAAATACCTGTCAAATTATTTTGTGTGTATAGAGAAAGTCATATATATATAATATGGTTACTTTCCATTAAACTGAAACAAAGTGCTTTTAGATATATAGAGGATAATGTAGGTTTGTAGGAGTAATTTAGACTTTAATAACAATAATGCATTTTGAAACAATACATCAAACAGACAGCCATTTCACAGACAAGCCTGTTCTTCTGTATGCAAAGAGACAATCCAGGTGTCTCAAAAGAAGCTGACTTTTCTGAGGATAGAAGAACTGAAGTGGTCACTTAGTTGCAAAACATAATTCACCATAGCTATTAAAAATGCATCTAGTACATATTTTACGGAAAAGTGCTTGGTTTTGACAGCAATACCAACATTTGTGCTTTCAGTTGCCATTTCAGCAGTGGTGATTTTCTCCTCCTCCTCCTATGCATTTCCATCAACATTCATATTCTCCAAGCTGTGTCCTCTCCAAGTGCTGTGAGAGTACTGTAGGAGAAACAGCTAATTCTAATCTTTAAGTTTTACCTTCCCTTTGTGCCAGTAATTCCACTGAACCAAACTGTTCTCCCGATGTCTTTTTATATTGTCTGTCAGCGTGTAAGGTAAAGTATGGCACAAAGAGTACAATATAAGTCAGTTATGTACAGCTGCTGCCTTTGTGACTGTCTCTCTCTTTTTCATATGAGAATTTTTGTGTGAATTTCAGACAAGAAAATAGGTTAGTGAATAAATGAATGTAGACAGTCATTATCCAAGGATTAATTCACTTCACTGGGTGCTTATTAGACAGCTATGGGACTTCGTTGGGTATTTGGGAATTTGAAGTTCTTTGTAAAATTCAGTCAAGTCATGGTTTCTGCAAATAAAGGATATTGTGGTCGTTTCTTTATTTGAGAAAAAAAAAAAAAGAGTTCTGTTGTAAGAAGAAGCAGTGGAAGGAATGGAGGACTGAGATGAACTGAGAACAAGCAGATAAAAAGTTGTGCATGGTTTCCAGAAAGAGGGCATAAAGTTAAACCATGAAACAAGGGAGAAAAGTAAATAAAATATCCTTTAAAAAGCTGATCTAAGTATCTACAGTGTCTTTGGCCACATTTGATACTATCATTCACCTTTTTTAATGTTTGGCAACAAATGTAAATATTTCGGGCACATTCACCTTCTTCTAGAGTGACTTTCTTCTGAAGTGAAGCCCTAAAACAGATTAGATAAAACGCATACTAGAAGTACCAGTTTCTCTTCATTGGGTAAACAAAGGAGGCCACAATGTGCAGGTCATTTGTAGAATCTGCCTTTTAGATGTCTAAAGACAGGTGAAGTGAATCATACCTGAAATACAATGAATAAGTTCCTAGCTAAATGTGAACTCTCTCCGTCGTTGAATCTATGCCTCAGTGTTCTTGTCTGCAAAATAGTTGAAATGCTTGTTAATTTTCTACTGCTTTCAGTTTGTCAGGTTTGTTTCTGTTGAAGATCTTGGAAGCAGAGTCTATCTTACTAGAGAGTATCTTGCCATCCATATCTAGCTTCACTCTTATTTGCTCTGCTGTATATCACTGTAATGCAAGTCAGAGGATTAGAGACCTGTGTGTGTACTGGAATTGAGTGTATCATATATTGTGGTACACAATGAGAAGTCAGCAGCTTGCTTTGGTTTCTATTATTCTCAAGCAGCTTATCAGTAGCTGTGCAGTTCTAGATGCAAGAAGTAAGAGAAAATGTAAGGACATATTACATTTCCTGTAGTCTCGTACTTCCTTTTTAGCTCACCCATCTACCTTGACAGACAGCATTTGAAACATTATCTTATGCTTTTTTCATGGTAGTTGGGTTTGTTCCTGTCACTAGAAGAACTGGTTTACACAGCCTCTGAATTTGTACTCCTATTTCTGCCAAATGACCTCAGCTGTTGTAGAGTAAATCTTTCTTCATTATAGTAAACCAGATTAGGAAACTGATGTAATTTAAAGAACCAATGGTTACTTACCCATGTCAATTCCTTGGTGCCATTCCTTGCACAGGGAAAAGTGCTATGAATCAGTGGAATGAAAGTAACCCCCTGCCTGTGAACAACCCACAAGACTCTCTATGCCATGATGTACTTCAATGCTTCTTACTTGTAACAGCACTGGGCTCTTCCATTAAAGCTCTGCCCTTATATGCCAAACACCCGAATCTTTTGGAATGATGTCCAACTTCTCGGGGTCATAAGGTTTGTACTTGCACAGTACTCATAAAAATGAACAGGCTAATCTAACAGAGGCGTGATAGAAGCACCTACGGTCTTATCAAACCTCTTCCATATATCTATCTCAGAATGATGTACTTACACATAGAACAATTCCTATTGACACGCTGTTCTAAATTTCTGTCCCCAGATGCCATCCTCATATATTTATTTACCTTTTACTTTGCCATTTATGGTAGTTCACTCATATTATATTGGCCTTTGGTGTGTCTTTGGGTGGAAGTTATTTGTACTGAATTAATTTCTACATCATATTTAGCTATAATCAAATACCAACTGTATTTAATTCTTTTGTTCATATTCTTTCTGATACTAGAAAAATATGCTTTAATTTTCTCAAATCCAAATTAACTCATTCTGCCTCTAACATTGGAAGAGTCATGTATACATTTCTTTGAGGATTAATCTCTGTTACCAATTTATTTGGTCTTATGGAGTTTTACAGCAACAAGACAGATTTACCTACCTATAGGAAATCATCTCTCGTGCAAATATCTTATTCTACAAAGTCAAGGCTTGTAACAAGAAGCAAAATAATTTATTAGTTAAGTGATGTAATCGGATAAAAAAAAAGTTCTCAGATGCATAAACTCCTATTCACATATAAAATTGAATCAACAAATATACTTCAAGCAAAGTACAGATATTGGTCTCAGTTCAGTTTCATTATTGTTAATCACTGTGACTGTCTGAGAGAAAAAGATAGTTAACAGCTGTGAAGCTGCGGGAGTTACTGCTAAGGATAGAGGTGATAAGGTCGGTAGCCTCTACTGGGTAGAGAGAGAGGGACAGATTATTATCCCCTGTGGAGTCATAAAGGTTAGCAGAAGAGATACTGTGAGGAAAATCACATAATGTGAGATAAACCAGACTTCTTACTGAGCTCTTGATATTATGATTTTAGTATCCAGCAGAATAATAAACATTATATCCAGGCTCATCTTCTGAAAGTTAACAGATACTATGAGTGACCACTATTGCTTTGAGATGGAGGAATGCTGACAAAAACAGACTCTTGATTTGTAGTGATGAGACCTTTAAAAGCATACAGTCTGACCTCTTTCACCAGCACTGAAGCTCTGTTGTCTATAAATAACTTCTTATGTAAAGGCATATTGATGTCCATGCTACAACTTGCTATAAAGACCCCAACCACCTGACTCAAATCTCAGAAAAAGATAACAGAAGTCACTCAAACCTAAAATGAGGGCAGCGAAGGCAAAGTTTGTTGAAAGAGGGATTTTGTGTGCTTAGTTACAGAATCTGGTGAGTGATGGTAGATTCGTGTTTGTGGCCACGTAGCCATCCAGAAATACCAACTCTGGAAAGCCAAGATGCTTTTCAAAAACTTTCTCATCCAGAATGATTCCTGAAAGCCTCTGTCCAAACAGGTCAACATTTCCACAGAGACCTAAAAATAAAGGAAATTAGAATGAAAATGTTTATTTAAATTCTATTTCATACAAGTATTACAATACAGATGCTGTCAAAACACTAAGAAATATTTCATATGCAGCATTTTATGAGGCTTAAAAGAGCAGCTCAATGAACATCTGACTTTATCTCACCACAATGTCAATTTATTTTCTGTGCTATTACTGCAGGTGATTATGTAGTCATGACTATATACTTCGACTTAAGTAGAAGAATGGGATACTTCACTATTCAAACGTACATTCCCTGTATATTAACAGTTGTTCTTTCCTGGGTATCCTTTTGGATTAAAAAAGATGCCACACCAGCAAGAACAGCATTAGGTAAGTTGTTAATAGTTCCTTTCTCTGCTTTTTTCATGTAGTTCCTCCACTATCATTTGAAAATGTCAGCTTCCTTTCAAAGACACAGCAAGATATATACTCTGGATTAATGCTACCATGTCTTGCAGACCTGGATATATTTATCATTGAAGCCTTTGGTTTTCTGCCTTTAAGAGGGTAATTTAAAGTAATCTACCCCAGCCCTTTGGAATGACACTGCCACCTATTTTGCATAATATTCTAGAATTAATGGCTGTCTCTTTCTTCTCGCTATGATATTTTGGTGACATTTTTCAAGAATTAATTAATTGCACTGCTGGCTTCCTTCTCTTCTGAAATGCTTCCCCACAGGATATAATGTCCTATGCAACCTGAAAACTGTAGGATATAATAACATTAACTCATTCAAGATGTTTGAAGCTTGTACACTTGAAGTTAAGCTCCACACTAGGTGTATAGATATTTTTCACAGGTTGTAGAGGAAAAAGTTGCTGGAAAGAAAAAGTGCTGTAGAGAAGAAGTGCTGGGAAAGGTTTCTGAGCAGCTTATTTATGTCAGGACTGTTGTGTGCATTTTGGCATTGTTCTTTAGGATACACTCAGAAACTTTGACCATTTACTCTTATGTCTATATGAAAACCTGCAAGTTTTGCAAGCACCAAGGGCATAGGGCTGTATAATAGCCAAATACAGGTGTAAATCAGAATTGAAGGAAAAACAAAACAAAACAAAACAAAACATTTTACTCCTGAGCTGCAAATAACTAAATTTTTCAGAAATCTAGGAAAAAGGGGAGGTTGTGTCAAGGTTTAAATGTCTGTGTTCAAGAGCAAATGTTAGCATTCCTAGCTATTCACTGCTTATTCCTGCTGGAGTTTCTCACCATCTCCATTTAACCAGCTAGATCCTCTGTATCATTTAAATACAAAACAACAAGCTATTAAAAACCCACCTGCCCAATTTTTGGACAGAAATGGATAGGAAACATTTGTAAGAGAACCTGAGTCCCCAGGTTTGAGAGGGTGATACTGCTGCAAGGAATTACTGAAGAATAAAAGCTGCAAACAAGCTGAACCTTCTCAGAGGTCACAAGAAGGCAGCAGGCATGGTGTCCTCAAGGGCTGCTGTGTACTCACAGGTCTTCATTCAGCCACAGGATAGAAAAGGCCATTTGTATGAACCTTTTGTCTCTCCTCAATAGCTGATCAAGGGCCAACAGTACTTTTAATCCTTTTCCACCCAAATAACTAAGCCTTTACCAGAAATGCTTGTTACTTCTCATGTGAATCCATTTCTGTTAGCTCCCTTCCAAACACCAAAGCAGAGGCACAGTACTTGATCTCAGGAGGAAGACAACTTATTCAACTGTGCAGCTTATATACAGTTCTTCAAAAGGACTTGTCCTGTTCCTGTCTGTCCCTCTCCTACACTAATAAATCTGAGCAGCCACCAATTTTAAGACTACTGTAGTTTCCAGTAGAAACCCCCTGAAGGCTCTGAAGTGAAAAAAATTAAAATTAAAATAAAAAAAAAATGGGAAGTGTTAACAAGATTTTGAAGCCCATTCATTTTGAATGAGATTTTAGCTGCTATGTCCCTTGAACTCTTACAGAAGTCACTTTCTAAGTCCTTGACTTATGGAAAAAAACATATAGCCACCTATTCAGGGTGTCCTAAGGCATAGGATAAAAACCTTCTTCCTCCTAAAACTTCTGTTTCAATAGCTTAACTTTCCAATGAATGACAGAAAAAATACCATAACCTTACCATATCCTCTAAGTGTAAATTCCTTAATAACTTCAGCTTTATTTAAGCAATTAAGTTGTATGGCACCCATTCCTGCTATCAGTCCTTAGGCACCTTTCTAGGTGGAGGCTATTTCAGCTTTAAATCTTACCAAGTGACAAAGGGCATCTTTCAAGCCAAGAGCAGCTCTGTGACATGGAGCTATACAGCAGAATCAATAGGAAGAAAAATCTCAGAAAACCTATAATAAGACAACTGCAAACAGAGATCACTGGTTCATATTTTACAGATAATTCTGTGCTAAAACCCATTTTTCATGAGGTCAGCACAAAACCATAATCTCCAGGATTTGCTCCAGAAATTTGTGAAACTAACAAACATAGCACTTATGACCATTAAAAGCCATGTGGCATCACATGGGTCTAGTTTCATGAGGTAATTTTCTGAGAAAGGAATGTTCAGTCTTCATCCCCCTTCTGTGAATGCCAAAGTGCCTTTACACTGTGGCTCTGGCTACATGATGTACCCTAAGACTAAGAGTTATTCTGTGACTCCCTCCACTTCCAGGACTGTGTGAAGATGGCCCAAAGGTGAGGATGGAGCAGATGTGCATTCGTCTGTTGCTGGCTGAGTAGACTTGCCTCTAGTGACCAGAAAATTGAGCAACAGGCCTTTAGCATACTTCCCTGCTGAAGAACTTTCTTCTTAAATTGGATGGCTCAATGGAGATAAGGAAAGATTGGCCATACTCTGTCTTTTTTAACTAGGCGTGGAAAGCCCTATGTGTGTGCAGAGAGTCACACAACATCAATTTGGGTTATCGTTCATAATGCTTAATTTATTTAAGAGAAAAGAAAAACGGGAAGAAAGGTGTCTAACAGATTGCGTTACTAATTTTCTGGAAGAAGCGTCCATATCCTGTCCCTGAGGGAAGTTCCCTACACCATACAGTTCATTTTTTCAATTAATTAGACTCAGATGTAGGTTAGAGCTCTGGTCACAACAGTGTTATTCTCCCTGCCTCACCCCCATAACCAGCAGGAACTTCAGAGAAAAAATGTATTCATATATTGAGGTCATGAATTGAAATGTTCCAAGGCTGTATTCAGTGGTAACAGTGACTAACTCCTAAAACTCTCATAGAGAATTTAATTACTGGGCTATAATATAACTTTTTTAATAAATAAAGTCAAATGACTACAAAATGTATGTATGTGGGTCACCTCTTTCTGTGCACAGAGTCCTGTTGCTCCCAAATTGCAAATGGCCTCTTGACTCTTGGGATGCAGTAAGCAGATGTTCCCAGTTTACTGTAGGTGTCCTTGCATAATGCAGCCTATAAATCTGTCTGAGCAACAACACACACATGCACATTTGGAGAGTGGTGCATGGCAAAACTGTGAGTAATACAGCCAAAGGCAAACCACTGAAATTTTCCCGCTAATTAGTTGAAATGAATTGTAGACTCAGTGCACCAAAAATGCCCCAAGTATAACTGCATTAATGTGAAGGACTAGCATCAGGGAAACATTTCACTCTCTGAAATTAATGAGTAATTTCCTAAGCTATTGGCAACTACTCAGGGTTACATGAAGGACAGGTTTTACCCCTTTCTGAATATCTTTAAGTAATAAGCTATTTCTGTACTGGAAAAACTAAATGCAATCAGGGGTATTTGACTGAGGGGAAAAATGGGACCATAATAATCCTTTCAGCAGCACTGTCCAGAGGCAGCAAAGTGCACTTTAAAACTTGGCATCATAACCCCTTTTTAACATGCTCTTTGAGGGGCTGAGGCCCAGAGTGACAACGTGACTCATTCCAGGCCACCTGAAGAGTCAGTGGGAAAATGGAAATAGAATTTGAGTGTTGGATGAGAACTGTGTTTTATGATCCTTGCTTATATTCCTCTCCATTCAAAGAGAAGAAAAAAAAATGGCTCTCTGCTGTTTCTGCCCATCTCTAGTAATCAAAATGATCTTCTCCCAATGTTCACAGTCAAGAGCAGACAGCAAGTGTCTGAAGAAAAGTTATGATTTGGAAAATAAGAGGTTGCTTTTCACAAGGATGAAGGGAATTAGATTAAACTGAAGCTTTCATCTGAGCTTTCCCCCTGCTTTTATAAAATGGGTATAACATATAGTATGACTGGGCAGTTGCTACACAGCAACTTCAAACTGTAGGTTAAAAAAAAATGCAGTGGGTATCAAGACCAGCAATGCGTTGATATAAAGGAAGATACAGATGATGTTTGATAAAAAAATGAACATTGCTCTCCTTACCATTCCATCTTAAGCTCATTCACAAGGGGAAAAAACAGGTGACAGACCAGAAATGTTGAAGAGATGAAATTTATAAACAAGTAAGGCAGTATACATTTTCCCACAAGAAAATAAGAAAATTTGAGCCTCCCTAACCAAAAAGTTTCTAACACTGATAGTCTTGCTACCTCACTTGGCCAACTGCTGTACAGTAAGCAGCTTTCAGCCAGTAAAAATCTTAAATAACTGTTTAGACCAATGATCTAAAGGTTAAAGTGTTCTCATGCCTTATGTATCCCTACATCATTGATCTACCAGACAATACCTTTTGATTTATTAAATAGCATTTTTGGTATGGAATTTGCCCAGAGAATATAAATGCCACAAATGGTATTCACAAACGTGCTGCCACTCACACCTGTCTACCTGAACATTTTGAAGCCAGGTCACTTCAAATCTGTCTATGGCTTAAATATAGATTTCTGTTGACAAAGACAGTTTCACAGGACTGCAAATTTCAGTAACAGACACAAAGCTCACTTTACAGCCCTTCTATCCCCAAAATGAGAGACCTAACAGTTTCATCTGCCAAGATTTATCGTATTTGAAACCAGTCAACAAACTGAATTTTCTCAGTAGGATAGATAAAATGAGATAAGGGTCAGGTATCTAGATATTCTGTTTGGAAATGATAGATGTTGCATATGTGCATATCTGTATATTCTGACTTATAAATAGGAATACAAAACTATATAATCTTGTGCACCTCATTCTCTTTGCTCTCTGTATGTGTCCCCATAAGACTCAGTTTAATATTTCAAAACTTGTGTAAATGTGTCAGATTTGAAAAAATTTGATAAAATTGATAGAGAGAATTTAATTATTTCAAAAACTCTTTATTTGCTTATGATCTGAGTTGGAACCCAAGTCCAATCCCCAGTTTAAATGAAGAATGATTATTTATTTTATGTTGGATTTCATATACTGTAAAAATATTTTATAAAAAATAATAGTAGAGATCTGTTTCTTTTACCGTTAGATGTTTCCATCTGTGTGCTTAGCACTTGCCTCATGTCCTTGCCATAATTTGAAATGTGGCACATAATCCAGAAACTGTGATTGCGTGTGATAATATTAAGCTTTCCTTTCCCTGAGGTTTTGTATTCTGATAGCAAAATGTGAGTTGTTGTCAAAGTGATGGGCAGTATTAGTTTCAAAAGAAAAAAAAAAAAAAAAAAAGAGAGAGAGAGAGAAATCTTATATCATTGTTGAATCTTTAAATTTAGTGGAAATTATTGTGCTTCAATTGGTTAAAATTGGTCTGTAGCCACTCAAAACTCCAAGATCCTGTAGCAGTGAGGTATAGACAACACAATTTGCTGGGTTGTTTTTTCTTAGTTCTCAACAAAAGCTTTAAGGTTGTCAGTCTTGGGCATAATTCTGTCAGGATATCACATTTAGGCTTAAGAAACAGACATAGTCTGAGTTGAGGACTTTTGTACTTAAGTGCAAAGGCCAATGGCAATTTTTCTTTCACTTCTCCACCTTTCAGTCCATATTCAGTGTGGCAGCTGATTGTTTTATCATAGTTTTATATAGTTTTATCATAGATAGTTATATCATTATAGATAGATTTATGTTGAACAAAATAGTTCATCATAAATAATACATAGTTACACTCCAATTTCACTGAAAATAGAGGAAAAGTAGTACATTGTTAATAACTGCATTCCATGTGAAAAAAAAATAGACTTTTGCAAATGGCCCTTCCAAGCATTTCAAGCATTTTTCCTTTTTTTTTTTTTTTTTCCTTTTTTTTTTTTTTTTCCTTTTAATAAAAAAGTGTCCTAAAGTAATCTGAGATAATATCATTGGATGAAAGGGGAACTGAAAACTTGCCCTTGAGTCCAGGTAAAAAGGACAATATTTGTTGTGTTGGAAGACAAAGACTATCGATTTTGAGAATTTTTTTGAAGGCAATAAAATACTTGAGTGCTGATGCATGTAAATGCTGCTCTATAAAAGACAGATTTATGTTAGAAATCTAAATGGGGTTTAGAAAGTATTAAAGAACTTTATTTCATGTTGTAGAGTTTGTCATAGCCATATGCAGTACTTCTGAGGTTAGTGGCCTGTGGCCACTAACACCAAGGCCTGTGGTATGGTCATACAAAAAGTCAAGTTAACTTACAGCTAGTATGGGCCAAATCAAGGCTAGTGAGCCAAATTCTTTTGCAGCTGGACGTCTGTGCAGTTGACTACTATGGTGAATGGTTACCTATGGAGGTTGTCTCTGGAGCTTTTAGAAGCATCAGTTAGCTCCAGAGCTGTATTTGAGGGGTATAGAGACCTGGAGACTTGTAGCTGGATCAAGGCAGCCACATATATTGGGAAGTGGCATAGCTGAGAGGAAACATATATTTTCCTAATATCTTTTAGATACAAAATATATTTACAAATTCTAAAAACATGTCTATGCTGAAGTTCAGAAATGTAATTGCAGTTCATATGTAGACTAAAGTTAGTAGTAGTAGTAATTTAGCGAAAGCCACAAAACCTCAGAGAAAGTTGAAAAAAAAATCTGTAATACTGGGGCAACTCTTCTGTACTATTTGTGCTGTTACATTTGTATTGACAGATGAACTGGCTAGCTTAAAGTTTGCATGAAGTACAGTGGATGCTCTGGATTCTGGTGCAAGACAGCCAAATATTGAGGTTACATGCACTGAGTAAGGGAGTTTCCCACTTCCTACCAGTATTGTTTTGATCTTAGTTATTGAGTGGTGATTTTTTCAGCAACATTTTTTCCCATTTCTATTTGCTATTTGTTGTAAGAGAAGGTCTAGGCTCAGGAACTATTCTGGCTGTTCCAGGAACTTTCTGATGATTTGAATGGGGAGGGTTATTCTTGTGAATTACTGTAGTTTCTATCAAATGCTACAAATCAAAGGTGGGCATTCTTTTGTGAAGAGAAAGTAGTCAAAAGTAATCCATAGAACTTCTTTCTCTCCAGAGTGCCATTTGTGGGAAGTAATTTTACTATAAGGCATAATTTAAGTTATTCCCTGCCATTTCAAACACTGTGTACCATTGCAAAATACCACTTTAACTATAAAAAGCAAGATTACCTTACAGTTATGTTGTTTTTAGAGCAGGCTCTCTCTTGAGACTTATTTGAGTGAGAGCTTTATTTTTCTTTCCAAATCATTGAGGAGTTTTTTTTTTTTCTATCAGAAGCCTTGCAGTACATAACAGATGATTAAAAGCATCAGTCCAAAGCAGGAATTAAAAGACTTCTATTGCTGAGAAATGAACACAAATGATATGAATTACCGCAGCAGCCAAACAACTGACACCCCATAGACTTCATTTTAATACTGGTTTTATTGTTTCAGGATATTTCACTTTAAGTAATCCTGATTTTATTCATTATTACTAAATCAATCTAAGATGTGATGCTTTGTACAAATTGAAAAGGCTATTTCCATTAAGGTTACATCTGAATTTTGTCTGTTTTCCCTGAGTCAGAAGGAAAATAGCAATGGAGCAATCCCAAGAAAGCAGCACTGTAAAAAATATATTTTTCATAGTCAGAGATTTGCATCAAGTTTTTTCCCTTCCCTTCCCTTCCCTTCCCTTCCCTTCCCTTCCCTTCCCTTCCCTTCCCTTCCCTTCCCTTCCCTTCCCTTCCCTTCCCTTCCCTTCCCTTCCCTTCCCTTCCCTTCCCTTCCCTTCCCTTCCCTTCCCTTCCCTTCCCTTCCCTTCCCTTCCCTTCCCTTCCCTTCCCTTCCCTTCCCTTCCCTTCCCTTCCCTTCCCTCCCTTCCCCTTAGTACAAGATTCTTCATTACAGCAGTATTGCTGTGATGAACTCCATGTTTCCTTCTTTGTTGTTGTCCTACTTTTGTTGTCCTTGTTGCTTCTTTCTTTGCTTCTTTAAATGTTCTGGGTTCAATATCTTTTAAGCTTTACACTTTTCTTCAAAAATTTCATTTTCTCCTCCTGAACCCCCAACTCCAACCTAACTGGGACCAGAAAACGAAGAGATGAGGAAAACCACACTGAGAGGCATGGGAACCTCAGTTTTGCAAAGACAAATGTAAACAGCTGAGGAAATATTTGTTTACAAAGTACCAGTGGTTCTACTGATGTTATTTTTTTCCTTGCTTTTATACTACCAGATGAAATTAATGAATTTCCTTTAATTAATTGGGTAGGCTTTGGCACTCTGTTTTATGTGTTGGTTTCCAAAGGTTATTCTGTGGCTGCAGAAACGATGTTGCATACAATTAAAATCAGATTTCCTCTGCAGGAATTACCACAGTATTGACCATGACAACTTTGAGTACCATTGCAAGGAAGTCACTACCCCGTGTCTCCTATGTCACCGCTATGGATTTGTTTGTGACTGTATGCTTTCTATTTGTCTTCGCTGCTCTGATGGAGTATGCAACCCTCAACTACTACTCCAGCTGCAGGAAACCAAACTGTACCAAGAAGAAAAAGTCGGTAAGATGGGAGTGCTTTAATTTATTTTTGAGACTGTATCTGGCCCTGAGAGCAGAGAATCATTCAGTGACATCCTGTCACTCATGACACTCCACTCGTCCTAGCTTTTCCCAGTTCATGGTATGATCTGCACTAAAAGCCAATGGAGAAAGTTTGCTCAGAAACTTTCCTAACTGCTCAGAAAGTTTCCTAACAGAAGCATTCTGCTGACCATGAAGCAGAAGCCCTGCCCATGTATCTTTTGTCCTCCCATTATTGTGCTGTTAGTCAAAAAGGACTCCACTGGAAGAGAGTTCATAGCTTTTTATACAATTATATGTATATCGATGTATATTCAAATTCATATGCTATCTTGTGGCTTAACAGGTCTGGAAATATTTGTGAACTTTACAAACGAGATTTCATTCTTTTTTTTTTTTTTTTTTTTTTTTTTTTTTTGAGGGGGGGCGGGTGGGAACCAGTATTTGTTTTTAACCCTATGCACAAATGTTTCCACATACAAAAACTACAAAAACAGAGAGGTCACTTACAAAGGTATTATATGTGGTTACATTTTTGGACAAAAAGACTCACCCAGGAGTAATGAACACACAAGTTCTTTATGTAGAATTAAAACAGCCACGTAGGAAGAATTTTCTGGTGTCCATCATAATTGACTAAGAGAATGGCAAGAGGCAGTATAATGAAGAAAAAAAACCCTCAGTTTAAATGCCAGGAAGGGGAAGCAGGTTGTCCACTCAACATCACTGGAAAATCTGTGTTTGAGATTGGTAGTTGGAGAGATTGGATGCCATTTTGTGCAATGGAGGAAACAATCAGAAAAACAGGAATAAGAAGCATAACAGGAAAAAATGTGAAGGAGGAAACTGAAGAGAGAGAAGGCTAGGTTCAAGGCATCATAGATCATGAGACAGAAATGGATTGAATGAAGTGCTACAGAAAGTGATTGAATGAAGAACTAATGCAGGAAAAGACAGAATGCATATGGAATTAGAGAAAGCCTAGAAACCCATAAACTTAGTCAATGAAAACTCCATTAAACCTCTAATAGCTTCTTGTAAAAATGCAATGCACGAGAAAGGCAAAAGAAAAGTGTTACCAAAAGAAATTTATGAGACAATCAAAATGAACTTGCTAATGATCAAACTAAAATTGCCATCCTATAGGGAGACTGAATGAAAAAGCCATTAGTATCTTTGTGAGTTGGATATATTTCCAGACATGTGAAAGAAGCTGAGGGAAAACATGCAACATTTATGATATTTAGGTTAACACAAGAAGAAATCCTTACTTAGCTATTGTTGGCTAAATTAAAAATTAAAAAAAAAAAAAGTGTTGAATAAAGACAAAGTGGATGGAAACTAGGTGCACATTCTGCTGAGGATTCATGCAGCTATAAAGTGTGAAGAATATTATGCTAAGTATACTGAATATTCAGTATGAATAGTTCTATGGAGAAATGCATTTTAGGGTTTATTTTAAGAAACATTATTGAACATCGGATGAATATGAAGCAATAATTATGTTTTCTTCTGAATATTTCTTTTTTTATCTTTATTTAAGCTACCTGATGTCAGTTTTGGTCATGTGATGGTAAGTATACTATTTTATTCTGTGATAGCAATGGAGGCTGGAATGTATGGTTGACATTTATTTGCAATAATTTCTAAGAAAGCTGTATCGCTATGTTATGCTTTACCTTGACTTTGCTATAAATATTGTTTTGCTTTTTTGATAAAAGGTCAGTTTGTTTTTGGCTTTGGCAGAGGAACATAACTGCCTCTTTCTATCAGGATTTATCAAATGATTTGGGAGGGAGAAGAGAAGTGTAAACATTATGTGCTATTTCTACCTAGGAATGTCATGTGTCTGCTTTATGTAATACTACAGTTTCTCATTACATTCTAGTAAAAGGTAATAAGCACAAGTCCTACCATAAATGTACATGGAGTTTTAACTGAATTTCATAGAAAATAATTCATTTATGTGCATCTGTAAAGTCTTTAGCAAATTTTTGGTTGAATTTTCAAACAATTTAGGAACAAAAGTTTAGCACAGAGTTGCATTAGTACTGTATCTACAAATAGAATTAATTCTATTCCACAAACTTCAAGGTAACTATTTGTTTAAGTACCACTGTAATAAAATTTAAACTGAGCAAAAAATTGTGTCTCTATTTTGTATGAAATCTGTAACCATGATACATACTACAATACACACAAAGTAGGCAGAGGGCCAATTAATCAGCTGCTTGGATGATCTGTTTTTCAGTAATCAGATACAAATAAGTACAACAACAGAACCAAACCATTGTATTCACATTTCTTGATTTGTATAATCTGAACTTTATGATTTACAACTGCTAGCTCCATGTTACTAGCTCACCTTCTATAAATATTGTTAAAATAATGCTTTAAAAAAAAAAAAAAAGTTTTCTGAAGTATTTATAAAGAGCTCATATAGCATTGAAAGTCTGCTTATTGATAATGAATGGCTTACAGGAGACATTGCATTTATATACTTCCTACTGCTGTCATTCTCTGGAAATAATTTTCTGAAATGTTAAGTCAATAAAGCACATTGAATTCACTTGCTGCTTCCCATCAGCAGGCAAGTGTTCAGCCACTTCCAGGAAAGCAGGGCTCATCATATGTAATGTTTTTTTGGAAGACAAATGCCATCACTCCAAACGTCACACACACACACACATACCCATACTTCTTTACCCCAGCTTGTATTGCTTAGCATGATGTCATATGGGATGGAATATCCCTTTGGTCAGCCTGGGTCACCTTTCCTGGTGTACCCCCATCCTCCACGCTGGCAGAGGTTGGACGAGAAGCTGAAAACTCCTTGGCTCTGTGTAAGCACTGCTCTGCAACAACTGAAAACATTGGTGTGTTATCACCACTATTTTCATCAAAAATCCAAAACACAACATTGTGAGAGCACCTATGAAGAAAATTAACTCTACCCCAGCCAAAACCATGACACCTGGGCAGCCCATTCCAATACTCAATCACCCTTCTGTGAATAAATTCTTCCTGATATGAAATCTAAACCTCCCCTGGTGCAACTTAAGACTGTTTCCTCATGTCCTATCACTTGTCGCCTGAGAAAAGAGACCAACACACTCTTAACTACAATGTCCTTTCAGGTAATTGTTAGACAGTGATCAGGTCTCCCCTCAGCCTCTTCCAGACTAAACAAGCCCTATTTCCTCAGCTGCTCCTCATATGTTTTATTTTCTAGTCCCTTCACCAGCTTCATTGCTCTTCTCTGAATGCGTTGTAGCAGCTCACTATCTTTCTGGTAGTGAGGGGCTCAAAACTGAACATAGTACTCAAGGTGTAGTCTCACTAGTGCTAAGTACAGAGGGACAATCACTTAGAATCATAGAATGGTTTGGGTTTGAAGAGACCTTAAAGATCACCCAGTTCCAACCCCCTGCCATGGGCAGGGACACCTCGCACCAGACCAGTTTGCCCAAAGCCCCATCCAGCCTGGCCTTGAACACCTCCAGGGATGGGGCACCCACAGCTTCTCTGGGCAGCCTGTGCCACTGCCTCACTGTCCTCTGAGTAAAGATTTTCTTCCTAATATCTAATCTAAATCTACCCTCTGTTAGTTTAAAGCCATTACCCCTTGTCCTGTCACTCCACTCCCTGACAAAAAGTCCCTCCCCAGTTTTCCTGTAGGCCCCCTTTAGGTCCTGGAAGGCTGCTATAAGGCCTCCCTGCAGCCTGCTCTTCTCCAGAACAATGCCAATGCCTTCATTCTGTGTCCCTCTGGTGCTCAGGGGCCCAGAGCTGAATGAAGTACTCTGGACTTCCCTTGTCTTGCTGGCCATGCTATTTCTGATTCAGGCCAGCATGCCATTGGCCTTCTTGGCCACCTGGGCCCACTGCTTGCTGATGTTCATCTGGCTGTTGACCAACACCCGCAGGTCTTTTTCTGCCAGGCAACTTTCAAGTCATTCTTCCCCAAGCCTGTATCACTGCATGGGGCTGTTGTGACCCAGCACAATACCCAGCATTTAGCCTTGTTAAATGACTGGACACAATGGACACAGCCCATCAATCCAGCCTATCCAGATCCCTCTGCAGAGCCTTCCTACCCATGAGCAGATCAACGTTCCTGCCCAGTTTGGTGTCATCTGTGAAATTCCTAAGGGTGCACTCAATCTCCTTATCAATATTATTGATAAAAATATTAAACATAGCTCACACCAATACTGAGCCCTGGGGAATACCACTTGTGACTGGCTGACAACCAGGTTTAACTCCATTCACAATGACCCTTTGGGCCTGGCAATCCATCTAGTATTCTACCTGGTGAAAATTACTTCCATCCCGGCCAGGAACATCCAGTTTCACTAGCAGAATGCTGTGGAAAATAGTATCAAATGTTTGCCTCACAGAAGGCTAACAGTATCCTGGACTGCATTAGGCAAAGCACTGCCAATGGGTTGAAGGAGCTGATCTTTCCCCTCTACTCAGCAATGGTGGGGCCATACCAGGAGCACTGTGTCCAGTTCTGGGCTCCCCAGTATAAGAGAGACATGAACTGGAGAGATTCCACTGAAAATGAAAAGGTACTGGAGCAGCCCACATGTGAGGAAAGGCTAGGATCTAGGCCTGTTCATCCTGGAGAAGAGAAGGCTCAGGGGGATCTCACCAGTGTCTATAAATATTTATAGGAAAAATGCAAAGAGAATGGTGCCAGGCTCCTTCCTGTGGTGCCCAGTGACAGGACCAGAGACAATTGGCACAAAATGGAACACTGGAGGTTCCCTCTGAACATCAGAAAGCACTTCTGTACTTCCTGCAGGTGACAGTGCTGGCATAGGCTGCCCAAAGATGTTGTGGGGTCTTCTCCTTGGAGATTTTAAAAAGCCTCCTGGAGATGGTCCTGGGCAAGGCCTCTGGGTGGCCCTGCTTGCGTAGGGGGGTTGGACCAGATGGCCTCCAGTAGTGCCTTACCAACTCGGCCATTCTGTGGTTCTGTGATTCTGTGACAAAGCAGATACCATTCACCTTCACTTGGTATCTAGTCAGCTCTAGACCCTTCTTAACTGACAGAAATTAAAGCATCCAGATTAACCTAATTGTTTTATCAGGATATTCATCTTATGCCATGAACAGAAACTTGGTAGAACAAAACAATAACAAATTAAAAATATATATATTGATAGATGAGAATGTTTTCTTTGCAAAACCAGGGTATTTCTTTCTCTTCATTTTCCAAAATCATATGGGGGATCTAAATTTGCCTTTATACTTTTTAAAACAAAAATTGTAGCCAGGTATATAAAAAAGTTAGTCCATGAGTAGGAAATTTTCAAAAAGCATGCAGGAAATGGACAATATATAATATAGTAGTACAGCACAATTCCATGTATACTTTAATGATAACCATTTTTCTCTCCAAAGTGCTACAGGAATGTACAATAACCTGAGACCTTTTCCATGTGGCAGCCCATTGTAAAACTCTGACATCAGCCACCTGAAACTTTACAAATGAAAGAGAAGACCAGGACGGTGTAATTTGTGTTATCTAATCTCAGAGATAGTCATTCACAATAAATGGATTCACAATAATCTGCTTCTAAACTGGAATCTGTTTGCTGTTCATTTCACAACGTACCTGGAAGATTTTAGTTATTTACTTACACTGAGATGAATTGTGCCCAAGAAGTAAATGGCTGGATAGCTTAGGGACCATGTGCAGAAATAGTTACCTACATCACAGTCACCAACATCTGAGAAGGAGAGCTCCCACATCAAATTCTTAGCTCATATGTAATGAGATGGGTAATACTGTGGCATGCACAATCAGAAGAAGGAAAACCTCCCAAGAGGCACCTTAACTTTGACCTGTTTCACATGCAGGGTGAAAGTTTTCATGTATGTCTCCACACCTTCAACAGAAGGTATATTCTGTATAGCAAGCATAGAAGGGGCCTGGACTTTCCTAGAGAGCTCCCTCTAGAGTGTAAGGAGGCATGATGTAGGAGCATGTGTAGCTTGTTAGTACATGGCTCCTCCAGGCAATGGCAATGCTTAGTACAATGGAAAGGGGAGGGGCCCCTGGGAAAACACTTGGAGAAAACCATGATGACGGCGCTGAGCTCTGCTTTGTCAGGATGGTGCAGACAGGCAGCAAAGCAGATGGGAGCTTTCCTAGCTTTCCTGGTGATGACAGCAGAGGAGGTGACCTTTGTGAGGGTCGGGTGACTGGCTTGATGAGAGATATTATCATGAGAAAGTACCTTTCATGAACAGGAAATGATGTGACAGGAAAGGTGACAAAATGTAAATAGGGATTTCATTGAAGAAGGAGAGATCTGTAAGTGTGAGTCAAACTCTGAGGCATGATATCCAAGTGTCCTGCTTCTGAGTATGATTAATGCAAAAACCACTAAGGGCACGTGCCTAGGAGTGGCATTTAAAATCCTGTGATGAAATCATAGTTATCTGTTGCTAACCATATCTGTTTTTACAAATCATGGTAAGGTTAAGAGACTGCAGCTTATTTAAGTTGACACTCCACAATATCTATATGGAAATTCATCTGAAAAGGCATCCTTCGAGGGAAAGAAAGTTGTTCCCTAAGTCTAGAATTCCTGTGGTATTGACATCTTACTCCTATCATCTTTCATGTCTCCTGTGTTTTTTCCCATGATTATCAATTGTGCATCATCCATAAAAGTTTATCAAACTGTTGATTTCTTTTTCTCTCCTCAGAATTATTCTGTACTTGATATGAGACCACCAACTACAGTCATCACATTGAACAATGCCATGTACTGGCAAGAATTTGAAGAGGCGTGTGTCTATGAATGTCTGGATGGGAAAGACTGCCAGAGCTTTTTCTGTTGTTATGAAGAATGTAAATCAGGCTCATGGAGGAGAGGACGGATTCACATAGACATCTTAGAACTTGATTCTTACTCTAGGGTCTTTTTTCCTACGTCCTTCCTGCTGTTTAACCTGGTCTACTGGGTTGGATACCTCTATCTTTAAATGTTGCCTGTAGTGGTGAAGACTGTCGTGTTTTCACACTGTGGAGGTGCAGAAAAAGTGAAGGACATGGTCAGATTCATCTCAAATTATAGAGGCCACATTAACCTTCACCATCACAGAGCCTGATGAAGAATTTTAATATGTAATTTCCTGAAAAAGAAAAATGTGGAAGAATTCTCTCCTTACTGCTATTCATTTTAAGGGAAAGATTCTTACAAAATTCAGCTGAATTTGTAGTGTAAACAATGTTTATGAATAATTATTGTATATTAGAATTCTTACTATTCTCCCTTGGCATAGAAGCTATACACAATTCAGGCAAGGGTTAAGTATGTCATTTTTGTTCTTCATTCCCATACTTTCTTCAAAATGCTGCCATATCCCTGAGGCTCAGAGCAACATACACTGGCACTAGCAAACAAGCTAAAGCCGGTGAAACTACCCATTTATATTTAAACTTGCTTGAGCTATTTCCCGTAGGTTCTAGGAAATATTTTCCTGATGATCTCCTTGATATAGAGAAACCACCAAAAGACAGTAATAAATGTCTTTGGTGAGATTAAAACAGGGAAGCTACTCACTGCAAAGGTCTGGGATTTGTGGAATTAGCCACTTACCAAATGTATTGGTTTTAATTTGAGATGAAAAGGCAGAGTTCTAAGAAAGCTAATATTTTGATATAAATAAAACTTGACTATCTCTGAGACAACTCTAGGCATAACTTCTACTGTTTTTCAAGCTTTTAACTGTCTTTTTTTATGACTGGTTAAACACAGGATGGTCACTGATTTCTAAAGTACTCTACTTGAAGCAGGAAAAGATCCCTGCTTGTTTGTGTCATTGTAGCAGATCACAGTTTATAGGCCATGAGTAAAAATCACTATATAATAATAGCACTAGGAATATGTGACTTTCTTCAGATTGTAATTTACTAAAAAGTGCTCTCATGCATTCCTATCTTTTCTCTTCCAAAGTTATTTTATAAAATAAAATTTAAAAAATTAAAAAAAAAAAAAAAAAAAAAAAGAATGCCAAAGGCCATTTTAATTTCTTCCATAAAGTTAAATTTTGCAGTCCTTATTTATGTCATATATTCCTTGGATCTGACCTGAAGACTGAATACTTTTATGGGACTGTCACCCCTGGATCAAACATGGAATAGCTGGCACGTGTAGAGAAGGTTGTCTTGATCTTTCCTAAACTACCAACTACATTTTAGTACAGTGGGGTATTTTGTACTTTTCAAACTTTTGACCATTGTATTCTTAAAAGGACCATTTTTTTCAACAATTAGCTTTACAGTGTTAAACTAGATTACTTTTTTTACAGACTGTCTCAGTTGTTATTAAGGAATGAAACAAATTCAAGACTAGATAGCAATGGCTTTTCACTACCCTTTGGATAACAAAACTGTTACAAAAGATTAGACAGATTCACCTCAAAAAAAAAAAAAAAAAAAGTGTGTTTCTTCCATACAGTATTTGGAAATTTTTTTTAATTGTAGATGTGATTTAAGAACAGTTACAGCAGTCCTTTGTCTCCTCAGAAGGAAAATTCTGCAAACACGAAAAAGCTATTGCAATGATAATTAGAAGAGAAATGCTGTCATGTGCTTTGAAACATCACTGTCTGTCATTGCTGTTTCCCTGTGCTTCCAGTAATTTTTAATTAAGAAAAATTACTAATATGAAAGATAAATCTAGTTTATCTTCTGTTTTTTACTTGTCTAAAATATCAGAGATGAAAACTGAGTTTAGGGAGAGAGGGAAACCACTTCTCCAAGAACTAATGAAACTCAAATTACAAACACAGAGAAGAAATATTTGTGGGCAGTATCAAAACCTTATTTAAAAAAAAAAATCTTCCCATTTTGATGTCTTGTAAAACAATAATGACCTTCTGATTTCAAAATACTTGTTGAAGCTTTTGCTAACTCTCAGTCACAAATTACTCTGTAAACTTACTACTATGTAAACCTTTGTGTCCTGCATTGGAAATGTGGCTTTATTTAAGAATGAAACTTGTATTTTCAGTAATGAAAGAAGGAGGTTGAATTGAAGTTTAATATCCTGGTCTGGAATTACGTTTTAGACTATCCTAACAGCCACATTCAGCCATATTTTATAAGAATACCAGTAATACATCAAGCCGAAATAAGAGATTGGAAACAATTATCTTTTGAGGACCTGATCCTGCAAACCCTCTGCACAACCAGTTGATTTGGGTGAGAGTATTTAGACATGAAACACAATGAGGTAGCTTCCACAATTAAATTTCCTCTCAGAAAGAGCAGTCAGTCATTGGAATGGGTTGCCCAGGGAAGTGGTGGAGTCACCATCCCTGGGGATGTTTAAGGAAAGGTTGGACATGGTGCTTAGGAACATGGTTTAGTGGGTGATATTGGTGGTTGGACCAGATTATCTTGGAGGTCTTTTCCAATGATTCTAAATCCTGAATGAGTAAAGTTTGTTTAGCAATTCCATATCAGTGAATGTCCCAGGAGTAAGTATGGAAGTAAAATGTTCCTATTTTTGACGATATGTGTGTATTTATGCACTTCTGCTCATGCCTGTCCACTACAGCTAAAAGCACACAGTCTTGTCAGTTCCTTACTTGAAAGACTAAGGTTAAGACCATTTATATTGCCTCTTCTTTCTGACTACTTTCATAAGCAGAACTTGAAAGCATATAATTTCACTCTTTTCCATAGAATCACAGAATCACAGAATTTCTAGGTTGGAAGAGACCTCAAGATCATCGAGTCCAACCTCTAACCTAACGCTAACAGTCCCCACTAAACCATATCCCTAAGCTCTACATATAAACATCTTTTGAAGACTTCCAGGGATGGTGACTCCACCACCTCCCTGGGCAGCCCGTTCCAATGCCTCACAACCCTTTCAGTAAAGAAGCTCTTCCTAACATCTAACCTAAAACTCCCCTGGCGAATAACCTGGCGAATAACCAACTCCCCATGCTCCTAACCAAGAAAGAATCTGCAGACAGTACTGGTTTCTTCTGTTATACTGACAACAAAGGGCATATTCTACTTCGTAATATATTTTACTCTGGATTTAAGTACACACACACACACACAGACAAAAAAAAAAAAAAAAAAAAAAAAAGACAAAAGGGGCAAGTAGCTGTAAGCTGAAATGTTCCAGAATACATTTGTCTGCTTACTCCTAGTTGTTTGATTTGCTCTCTCTGCTTCACTGCTCTGTGCTTTGGCAGCAATTGTGAAACTACAGAGGTCAGGGAAGATAAGTTTTCTAGGTTCTGCATCATTCAAAATGTAGTTATTCTAGACATCTAGATAACATGGTCCACATATATCTGTTTGCCAGACCCTTCTGTAGTAGTAAGGAATATCCTTATTAACCTCCAGATATTCTTTTACTTCCTTTGTAAACTGAAAAGGATTAACACTATTGTGCACGAGAAATATAAGAAGCATCTTTCAGCCTTTTAGAATGTTTTTGAATCAGATGATTTCATACTCATGACTTGCAATTGTTGACCTACTTCTTTTTGTTATATTTTATATTCTTCCAAGGCAGGAAAGGGAAGGGAAGAAGAAAAAGAAGGAAAAAAAGAAAAAAAAAAAAAAGATTCTTAAAATCAACTCATTTGTATTTGGATAAGTATGTAAAACCACAAACTGAAGGAACTTCACATTGCATTCTTTCCACTCTGAAGTTACAGAAAGATTGTGAGGTTTTTTGGATTTTTTTTTTTTTTTTTTTTTTTTTTTGCTGTGAGACGACCAACTTTTCCAAGATGACTAGACATAAAATCAAACCTCTTATTTCGATCCCTTCACTTAAAAGTTGATTGACAGTGTTTTCCTGCATTAAAAGCAGCATTTTCAAGGCAATTAAGAATGTAAAAAATTAGTGTTAAGCTTAATTCAGTCTTCTTAATTCTTCTGGCGTTGATGTCTAACATGCCTCCTTCTTTTACAGACATTCTACCATGAATAAGTATATAACAACTTGCAGCCAGTTTATGCTGTCTCCACGTCTAGCAGTACTGTGGAACTGAAATACTCTACACAATTTTAGTGCAACTTTCTTAGATTAAATCTTTTTTTTTTTTTTTTTTAGATTAAGTCTCCTTAGGCATTTTGTTAACCTTTTTTTTCTCTTTCAGATTTTTCTTTCCTCCCTCATCATCTCTCACTTATATGTTGGGTCAATAAAAATGATTACAATTACAGCAGGAAGAATCCAAAAATCCATAACTGTCTTCATAGAAACAGTGACAACTAATGTGAAACAAAAACAGGAGGAGGAGATTGTTTTTATTGCTGTCCCACTCCTCTCATTCCGTTTTTCACACCATCTACCGACAGCTAATTCCATATCATCCACCTGGTGGTTTACGTATTCATCAGCTGGAACAGCAGTGACATATGAGCCTTTAGCTGATAAGAAATGGTATTTCAGGAACTGGAAGCATCCTGCCAAATAACTCAGATAACTATCTCCAACACTTTTACATCTCTAATCTGTCTATGAGCCTAAAACCTCATGTTGCTTCATGAATTTATTACAACTTACCTTCCCCAATCTTTTTGTGACCTAGGGAAGGATGCTTACCTCCTTTTTACACAAAATTTCACCATACATATAGAAAGATGAGTGGCTTGCCCATGCTTGAAGTGAACAAGTGCAAAACAGCTCTGGAAAATCATAGTTGCCGTAGCGGTTATTCTGTGGGAAGGAAGATTGTAAATGTTTTAAGACATATTTCATCAGCGTCACAATCTGGACAGTTGGTATTACCTACTAAGCTGCCAACCAAACATTCACTGCAACTTGCAGAGGCTGTCCATAATTCACTGTACTTTTCCCATTGGCTGCTTTTTCTCTATTTCCATAAAGCACAAAGAAAAGGCAAGCCATGTCCAATGATCTTAGCTGCTCACTCAAGTAAGTGATTTTTTTTCAAGGTAGCAGTGAAATCTTTGTGCCTCTTACATTAGTGCCTTTAGCATTTCTTGATATTGAAGGATATACTATTCCTGGCCTTTGAGTCAGAAAGAGGGCCAACGACCTTACTGGAGTTCTTCCTGAATACCGTTGTTCTGGATGTCATCAGCTTACACACCAAGACTTGACTGATTTTTCTGTATTTCTTAAGAAGTATGTAGGTTCCCTAATTCTTAACTAGCAAAAAAAACTGCAGTGGGATTTCAGAAATTTAGGAAAATCCTTCCTTCTTCACTCAGCAACTTGATTCTACTTGAGAAGTGCTGAGCATCAGCTCAAGGCTGATGTTTACCTCATCCGGCTCATTTTCTAAAAGACTGTTTAAAGCAGGCAAAAAACAGACCATTCACTGGAAAGGCATTTCATGGTTGAAAGGTGAGGGTTTTTTTTTCTTCTATTGGTTCAGTTTAGATCTCTTCTTCCTCCTTCCCTTCTTTCCTTCTCTCCTTCCCTTCATCATTGGCAAGCACAAAATCAGCTCAATTTCTTTGCTGTTGGGTCCTGCAACTGCAAACTAGTTTCAGGCATCTTCATGCTTTGCCTTAACTGTCCTCGTAATGGAGGCCATAGGGGATGTGCAGAGAGAACCAGCTGTTCAAGACACAAACCTTCTCCTAGCCAATGCTGGGCAAATGTAGCGATACTTGTCATCTATAACGTGGGAGGGTTCAGTGTTACTCCCCCACCAACCTTGTCTTTGTAGACTCCTTTGCTCGTTTTCTGCCAATGAATGAAATAATTATTAAGTATTGCCAGGCTTAATCTTACTGAAAGAAAATGAACATCAATCTGAAGAGTTTCAGAGAGCTATAGTCATGCTCTGTGGCATTGGTTAAACTCTCACTCTACTTTATTGGGGTAGACAGCATTGCCCTAACTTGTGATGCTGACATGCTCCAGCTCTCCAGTTAACATTTAATTGCTAATTCAATCACCACTTCCCAGAAGTCTGAGACTGTGCTAGATTAGAAGCTTATTCTGATATTATTATTCTAGTACATTGAACAAATTTCAAGGACAACACTGTAAAAATATGACTAATGCCAACACTTTCTAATCCCCTTTTATTTTCTTATAATTTCTCTTTTGCTCCACCTCTTATTTTGCTCCATCACTAGTAGCAAGTGCAGAGCACAAAGAACAGGGTGTTCTTTTGGTAAGGCATTCATTGTCAACTTTTACAAAATATTTACTGTGTATTTCTAGAAGATATTTGAGGAGAAGCCAACAGATTGTAACATTGACTCATGCACAGTGGCCATCCTGCAATGATCCTTCACTAATGACTTACCACTTGGTTGTGGTGACACAAGGCAAGAGAAAACACAGGGGAACACAAGAGAAAACAATCTGGGGAGAGCATGTGTCATTTATTTTCATATTTCAGGGTCTTCTGGAAGCAATGTTTAAAAGTGCCACCGATCCAGTAGCAGGCTGTATCACATCACAGCAGAAATACTCTGATTTTTAACCTATTCAATAGCGAGGTTTGAAATTTTCACTTCCATACTAGAAAAAGCATAGTGTTGTTAGTCTTATAGCCTATTTATATGTATATAAGATTTTTAGCCCATTGTCTTCTTCAGGGACACCTGTACATAAGCAAAAAAATAAAGGCCTTCCTTCAAGACTCAGTGGCCTTAATACTCTTGCCTTTTCCCCAGGGATTCGTGGTTTGTCTGGAAAGAATAAACAGATAATCTACTTTTCTCTTAATTTAGGCAATTGTTTTGGATGTTAAAAATAAAGCAATGTTTTATATCTATAATGAAATCATGTTTTAACAGAGAAAAAAAATATTGCTTGAAAAAAATATTGACAAGACAATGAGTTTTTATACAGTGTACCTGTGGTGGCTTACTGGAA